GATTCACTTATTTTACTTCGTATATAGTTTATATTGAAATGAAACTTATATTTATATTTATGAACGGGAGGGAGGGAGTATTCGATTTCTTCTACTGTTTGTGCGGACGACATGATCTATGGACCGATTGAGCCACGCGAAGTAAGCCAACACGTAAAACAAACAAGAGATGGTCCATGGCTCCATGCAGGTCGATCCATCCATGCATGGCCTGCATGCCAACTTTGGTCGAGCTGACTCCTACGTACCTCTTTACTGTGACGGACGGATCCAGCATGCAGCATGCAGAGTCAGCATTTCACTATGCCGAACGCATGGATGCATGCTGGCCTTTCGTTTCATTGAATGAAGCTGGCGCTGACATGCCCATGCATGGACCGGTCCGGCGCCCGGGCCCGCGTGTCGGCATCACAGGTTGCTCCAGGCCAGCACACACGACAGAAGGAAATCATGCAGGGCACAGCAGCGGCTGGCCATGCATGCATGGGAATGGGACTGGGAGCATGCAGCCACGTTGACGACACCTAGCTAGCTGGAAGATGCTTGCCCTGGGCAGCACGGGTCAACACCTCGTCGTATCCCGTGGCGGCCCTAATTAATTCGCCTTGGTCCGTTGCGATCATGCATGGTCGATCACCCCACTCGCTCGATCAGCTAGAGGTCAACCCCTAATGCCAACAAACCACGCATGCGTACGATTCAACATGTTCACTCATCCATCGACCGGTGGAATCTACTGCCATTGCACAGCTTCCATCGATCCGATCCGTGTCGTTCGTACGGTTTGGAGATGCGGCCGGTGGCCTTCACTTTTTATCTCATTATTATAGTTAGTTTTTCATTACAATCTTTTGTTACTGATTCATCTCTAGTTAACTGCCGTGTTCCTAAGGCTGTTGCACCGGCCGGGGTGAGCCGTCGAATGAGCCTTTACTGTCTTTCACTTTTATCTCATTAGTCATTATCACTTTTTCATTACTGTCTTTAAGTCTTTTGTTACTGATTCATCTCTAGTTAACTGCCGCATTCCTAAGGCTGGCTGGTGCACGGGCCGGGGTGAGCCGTCGGATCAGCCTCCTCACCGGCCGTTGGATCTCATCTAGGTGAAAGAAAAAAAACAAGCCGTAGCAAAATAACAATGCGTAACATTTTCTTGTGCGCTTGCAATAATCATTTGTAGCAGACCCTCCAAAGTCATCGCAACATGTTGGTCCCGTTTTTGCGGCAAAACCGAAACAAGGATGTAGCATGCCAACCAAACGTCTGCAGCATGAAAAAAAAACAAAATAGTAACCTTCTGCAAGCAAATTGTGTATCATTTGTTGAGAATTTTGGGACGCCGGAAATGTCCAAGTCCTTGGATCCTTGGATCTTGACACTGGCATGGTAAGAAACCAATATAGAATACATTTTTGAGTATGTTGGTAGGGTCCGGTCATCCCATCCGTGGCGACTTAGCTCTATGGCTACATAGATTACCCGGAAAGGGATCATGTCGGTCTGTGGCGTGATCATATCTATCATCACAACCTAGAACTCTTGTAACAAACCTTGTTGTCACGGTGGCGCTTTGAAATTCAATTCAGGTGGGGAAACCCAGCTCGCCGGAGCTCTCCCATCACCGGATTTGGCAAGCCTGGATCCATCCATCCCCGAATCCTATCTTCCCCAAGATCAGTGGCATGGAAAAAAAAATCTCATCTCATCTTCTAACTCGAGCTTCACCATGGGCATCAATGGCATCAAACTCCCAAGACACTCGCCCAGGGAGTCTAGAACAAAGAAGTAGAAGCAGTGGGTAGCGGAAAGAGGGGTAGGAGGGGTGACTACCGATGATTTGGGTTTTAGGGTAGTGTCAAGGAGTGACATCAAAGAGAGCCTATATCGGTGATGCTTTGAGCGCATTGAAGGAAAGAGAGAGAGGGGGATGAAAAAAAATTGTTCCAGGGAGGCGACGTTAATGGGACTACGAGACATGTGGTTGGATGATGAGGCAACCAGCGCTGGCTTCGTATCGCCGGTCAGAGGGGAATCATTTCCCTTTCCATAAATCTCGTTCATTAAAGCAAATAATGCTAAGTAAACTTTGCTATTGTATGAAACAAAATGCGGTTTTTGCATTGAGTTTATATACGGAATCTGAGATTGAGAAGAAGATGATTGGGTATTGACACAATAATTCTTAACTTCAAATTCAATATCTCAAGATTTACTTAGTTTCATTTCCGGTAGGAACAATTTTGGACCGGTTGGTGATGTTGCCTTACTTTACAACTGCCAACCATATAGGCCCACTATGGTAGTGATGTCACCACTGACATGCATCAATTTGGCCCCAACAATGGTGGGTTTTTAGCTGAAACTAAATTTTATGTTGAAGAGATCACCGGCGGCGGATACCCGACTACTCATGGATGGTGAGTGGTACTACTAACGGTTTTTTTTTCTAGCTCGTTAGTGACCAATCAGTGGATCGTATTTCTATTCCTAGCAGTGGTTTACACCTTTAACTTGCACCAACTATTCGAGAAGTGTTCACGGGGAGACAGAGCAGAATTGTATCTACACGATACTTGGTTTGCTCACGAGGCAAACATGCATTTTTTTCGTGTCCCCCTATAGAGGGGAATCATTTCCCTTTTCAGAAAATCTCGGTCATTAAAGTAGATAGTGTTTTTTTACTCTAGTTTTGACATACCAAGTGTAAGATTGCGAAAAGGGTGATTGAGTGTTGATAGAAAGATTCTTAACTAAAGATTTGATACTCCTATCTTACGATATATTTAGTATCATTTCCGGCAGGAATAGTTTTGGACCTGTCGTTGGTGTTGCCTTATTTTAGGACCGTCAATAGCATAGGTTCGTCATGGTAGCGATGTTGCCAATGAATAGCCTTGTCAGCGGTAGCTTTATTCATGAAACTAAACCTCATGTTGAGGAGTGTTAAGAAAAACCTCATGTTGAGGAGACCAATGCTGGGTACCCAGTGGGCCGCCAACCGTGAGTAGTACGACTGATGGGTTTCTCTTGCTCGTTAGTGGTGAACCATCTACAAAGCGTGTCGTTTTATAATGGTGGGTTTTATCTTTAACTCTTAACACAAAATATTAAGTTATTTAATTATTTTGTATTTTAGCACTAACTAACCATCCATCCATTCTAGGTAATCTGTATGTAGCTCTGTTTTTATTTTCTGCGGGAATAATAGGTGGTGATGTTGATGCTCTCAGAGGAGTATAGACCCTGCTTCAAACATTTCATCTAATTGATAGTGAATAATATCCATGCGTGCATGCCTTGCCATGGAGCTAGGTGTCAAGGAGTAATCAAATTGCCAAGAATGTCAAACTCCAAATACAAGACGCCAATGCATATGTGTAGCAGTTTTGGGTTGGATTCGGTGGGAGACTGGATTCACATGAACGCTACCCAATTTGATAATCCAGCTTGCATGCATATCCATACTATATCACAGAAATGAAAATTTAAGGTAAGACATATGGATCACCCAGATATGCCCCCTTCCCCCATTGTTAGCACCAGACCCATAATCCCAGTGTTGTGTGTGAGAGATCACCAAGCCACATGCATACCCATCTATAGACAGGGCTGAACATTCTAAGGTGCATTTTGCCAGCAGAAAAAAACACACACTAGGATTACCAAAATTGTCATATGGATGCTTAATTGGCACACATGCAAATTAAGGAGGTGTGCAATGTGTTTGGCCAGGGTGATTAAGAGAGGCTTGTCCTCACGCCTGCATCAACGCATGCTGCCTAGGCGGCTTGTAGGCCTCTCTTTAGGGCAGGAAAGGGTATGATTAGGTGCAAGAGCGGCTTTGCATTTGCTGCTCACTTGAGTGTGGTGGTTGCTGTGTGGATAGAGACCCTTATCCAGGCCCCCTAATCTCTCAAGTTTAGGGCCTTGTTTTATGGGCACTGCCCTTGTTAGGCAGGGCAGTTCAAGTAGAGCCCTCCCTGCACCACAACCTTTTATAGTTAGTACACACTATAATTTAATGGATTTTTGTTGAAGCTAGCTAGCCTCACTTTTGTGCTTTGCTTCTACAATGTTCCAAATGAAATAATCAGTAGTAGCATTACATGAATTTGCTACTGAAACATAATTAAGTCACTACAAATGATTTTAACCTTTCAAGTATTCACCTCAAAATTGAGTGCTTTAAAAAAATACGACACGATGGGGCAGTCTTTCAGTTGGAACGAACTCTAGATGGGCAGTAGATTGAACATACTCTGGTGCCCTTAGTTCTCTGATGATTTGGTAGGATATGTAGAATAGTTAACTAATGTTGACTCGACTTGGGGGGAAGTTGTGCATAAATATATGCACTGGTTCAATCATATGTACAAAAAGCGCGCTTTAGTGGTTGACAATTGCATTTGTTACGTACTTTGCGTCAGTTGGTTTGATCCTCAATTGTTCTTTGTCAACATTATATAAACTTAACGTGGATTCGAAAAGAAAATAAATTAATGTGAGTGTGCGTGCCCTAATATAAACATGCATGCATGGTGGGCATATCTCCTGCACCGTCCAATTCCAAGTTAAACCAACCCCCTCATTAGGTTGATTGGTAAAGGGGTTATCAAATCAAAGGGTGTACCTGCTACTACTACTATTTGATCCTTGAGCTAGCTAGCTAGCTGTCACCACTTGAATTGCATTCCTTGTCCAGCAGAAGTAAGTAGTGCCAACACTGGAGTAGTTACCATAGCCAGGGTGAATATACAATTCCCCAAGGTGTGGTAATTAGTCAACCCCCGGGGCATACTGGTCATTTCTCCATGGGGTGGAAAGTCCCCTTATATATACCCTGCAATGGCAGGGACTGGGTTGGTGCAATCAAAAGTCGCCAGCAACTATCTCTTCTTGCTTCATTCGGTCTCTAGGCGGCTAGCCATTACGACAACACACCCCAGATATAGTTAGTAGTGCTGGCTAGCAAGCAAGGTACTAGCAGCCAGGTGTTGTCCATGGAGGAGATGGGGGAGGAGAGCAGCAGGTATCCATGGCAGGACTACGACCTGGGCTTCGGGGAGGAGCTCATGAGGGAGCTCCTCGACCAGACGACGACGGCGCCAACGCCATCGCCAGCAGCAATGGCGGCCGGCGCCGCGAGCGCTGATAACTCTTCTTCTTCCGATAAGGGGATCGGTGACGAGGAGGAAGGGGCGGCGGGGCGCCGGGAGTCCATGGAAAACAGGCTCATGTCGACGGTCTACTCCGGGCCCACCCTCAGCGACATCGAGAGCGCCCTCTCCTTCACCGGCGCCGGCGCCGGCGACCCGCTGGACGGCCGCAGCAAGTACCACTACAGCCCCTCCAGCCCAGTGTACGTCCCTCGTATCTATGCCAACAACAACCATATACAATTCTCCGTAGATGCAAGCTCAATTTGGACATCTGTGTGGAAATTCAGGGTTTTCTCGCCGGAGAAGGTGCTGGGCAAGATGGAGAACAAGTACACGATGAAGATCAAGAGCTGCGGCAACGGGCTCGCCGACGATGGGTACAAGTGGAGGAAATACGGCCAGAAAGCCATCAAGAACAGCCCCAACCCAAGGTAGTACTATTTCTTTACAGTTTCACCCCATATCAACCAATCTCTCATGGCCGACATAACTTTTAATCACTTGTACTCCCTCCGTTCGGAATTACTTGTCTCGAGAATGGATGTATCTAGAACTAAAATACATCTAAATACATCTATTGTTGCGACAAGTAATTCCGAACGGAGGGAGTAGTTCTTAGCCATGGTAGCTAGCAGGCAATTTTGCAAGCAATTTTACTTACATAACCATAATCACCATGGTGCAACTTCCGGTTGACATATGAGAGACAGAGCATATATATTTATCTGTTCACTTTTCAAACATGGGTGGGTGAAAGCTACATGACATCGCAGCTAGCTAGTGGCCCAAATGGGACAAACTCCAAGCTTTGGAGCAATTACTTTTGTGAACCAAACAGAGGAAGAGCAAGCTAGCTATGCACTGTCCTCACTTAATTCCACAACCAAAAATCCCCATGACAGCAGCAATAATCCTCCACAGCTTGCATGCCACAGTCCGTATATAGCCATGGACAAAGTTAATCGTTGCATGCAAGTAAGTAGTAAGGGGTTTGCAGAGGTGGAGTAGCTGAGCAGGTAGGTGTGTGTGCTTGCAGATGGAATATTTATTAATTGCAACCTTAAATACTTAGACCCCACAATTTGCCATGGTACGGTCGAGCTAGCTACCTAGAGCTGTCTCCATGAACACAACCGGCTAATTTGGCAAGAAAGCGATAGTGGAGCATAGTATAATTTCTTTAAAAAAAATGTAAATTCCAGTCACCTAAATTGCTCAAATGCACACTTACTATTATTATAGTGAATTAGTGTAAGGTAGCATGTAAATATTTTGTACTGGATGAATTTTGGTGGTGGTAAATTGGTAATAACTAAATTGACGTGGATGTGGCAGGAGTTACTACCGTTGCACGAACCCGCGGTGCAACGCGAAGAAGCAGGTGGAGCGCGCCGTCGACGAGCCGGACACGCTCGTCGTCACCTACGAAGGCCTCCACCTCCACTACACCTACTCCCACTTCCTCCAGCAGCAGACCAACCCTCCACCCGCCGCCGCCGCCGCCGCCTCAAGCTCCAAGAAGCCCAAGCTGCACCCCACCGCCGGCGCCATTACAGTTACAGACTCCCACCACGGGAGCACCCCTGTGCCAACAACCTCGCCCCCGTCTGCCGCCGTCGTGCCTGCCGGCGCCGGGGACAGCAGCGGCGACAGCGGCGGTAACGTGACAGCCGACGCGGGCTTCCTGCTGGAGCACGCGGTGCCCAACTGCTCGCCGTATCTCTTCGACGGCGGCTTGCTTAGTGATGCCGGCGAGGAGCGGCGGATGCCGAGCGACGCCGGCGGGCTCCTGGAGGACATGGTGCCGCTGATGGTCCGGCGGCCGTCGTGCAACTCGGCGGCCACCACCGCCAGCTCGTCGACGACGCTCGGCTCGCCCCCGGCACCGATGTCCTCGCCTTCTCCCTCCACGTCGTCCGTGTCCTGGACCCCCGCGTCGCCATACATCGACATGGCCATCCTCTCCAACATCTTCTAGCCAGTAGCGTAGTGTCAATTGGTCCGTCACGATGATCGATCGGGAGCAATTTGGCTCCAGGAAAATCGGATTATCTGTGCTTGTGCATGCAAGCGTGCAAGATGCGCGCAGGAATGGTGTGTGATTAGTAGTAGTAGTAGTACTATTATACTAGCTACAAGTAGTAGCATCTAGCTAAGATAGTTGTGGCTTACTCCCAAAATAAGGAGGATTTGTATGTGTGTTGTGTGAGTATAGTATGATCGTTATTAGTATAGGTAAGGTACCGGTTGATGTTGAATGAATAATTGTGTGCATGATGTGAGTAATACTCATCCTTATGGTGTGCATGGGTGGCAGATGTATATGTGAGTGAAGATGGTGAGATATGTAGTGTGTTAACTTTTCTCTCTATTTTTTTCAGTTGGACCTTTCTCTCTCTGTTTTACCTTTACACTGGACATAAGTTTCTTCTCTTCAGGGGCACTGTTAATCGTGTTGTTCAGTTATTCTTGAATGAAATTACTATCAATATATTTGTTTTCCGATAACTTTTTTGATAAAAGAATGCTTTCCTAGATGGTACCATGCTCGATATTGTTCTTCTTTTCAGTGAAGAGAAGAGCACAATTGAGATAACAGCGGTGTGCTTTGGGCATTGAGTTAGCGTCAATAACAGCCAAGAAGTGTTAATGGCTTGCATGTTGATGTTGTGTCCCATTAGCAGATATTTTTATCCTTTATTATTTTAATTTATCTCAAAATAATGTTTCTTAAAATCATCTATATTCTGTGCTTAATGATATGAAAAATTATAACTTCTAGAAAAGTATTCACAGAAATGAAAAATATTCATGTAATAAAAGAATATACATGTGATTTAATAAAAAGTCCACCTATTTAAAGAAAATATCTGTGTAACACTAGTAAGTGTTAACCTATTGAAAAATAATATGTATATAGTTCTAAAAAGTGTCCAAACCATATAATTTTAAGAAGTAGTTTACAGCTTTTATAAAATGTTAATCTAATTTTAGAAAATGTTCCTTATATCTCCAAACAATATATAAATTTTCTAAAATAAAAACAAACAAAAAATATTGAAAATGAAATATAAATAAATACAGAAAATGAGAATCAGTTAAAAGGGAAAGATAAATAAGAAATAGAAAATTAAACATTAAAAACAGAAATTGAAACAATAAATTGAGTGTATAAAGAGAGGACTAAAAATCAAATAAACTTAATCAGAAATGAAAATCAGAAAAATAAATACGTGAAATGAAAATCAGAAACGGAAATATATGAATCGATAATATTTAGCAAAATATTAATTTTTAGAAAACAATAGGGAAATATGTTCATGAAACTTCAGAAAATTGTTCATGCACTTATTTGCAAAAAAATGTCCATACAATTAGAAATAGTGTTTGAAAATATTCATGCATTTTAGAGAAAATTTACAACATTGTAGGAAAGAGCAGTATAAAAAAAGTGTTCACATGTTTGTAAATTTTCAGTATGTTATTCATGCAATAAGGAAAAATGTAAGATATCTGAAAATAACGTTCTTGTTTTTTTAATATCTCTGAAAAATTAGAAACAAAAAGCAAAAATCAGGAAATGGGTCAATAGAAAAAGAAGCCGAACAGCAAATGGAAGAAGAATCTGATGAAACACTAAAATTGGGCGAAAAACACTGGAAAGCTGCTTGTAAGACTGAGCAAGAAAACAGATAAAGTAACCATAGTGATGGTGTTATGGCCTAGGGGTGCCTGACCTCTTTGGTGGTTATCAGCTCAAGTAGGCTAGCCCGAGGCCCCTATGTTGGTTTCCGCCCTGGGCAATCATGCTGGCCCATTGGCCTTGTAGAAGGAAGATTTGAGAAGCATTGTCGTTGAAGAATAGGAATCCGGATGGGGTTAAGCTAGTTGGCAGAAGACATAAAATCCCTCCAGTACATTATACTTTGTACACCACCATCACAATAAACAACACGAGCAGGAGTAGTGTTTTACCGTGTACGGAGGGCCCCAACCTGGGTCAATCTAGGCTCGTGTTTAAGAAGAAGAAAAAACTAAAATAGCCGTGTTTTAGAAGAAGAAAAAACTAAAATAGCCGTGACATAATATGAATCAGTCTCCCAGAATTATGAGCATGTGTGTGCAGGGGAGGAGCCCAGTGGTCCGACCCTGTGGCACATGCATCAGGGTCAAAAAATATTTTTAGTAGTAACTGTCATATAAAAGGCCCTGGGCATCAGGGTGGGCACACGACCAGGTCACACGACCAGGCCACCACACCGTAATATCATCTCTAGCTCTCTCTTATCAATCTGTTTCTTATAAGTCGATCAGGATTCTGCCCCGGTATCCTTTGTCTTTGCTGCTGTTTCTAAAGATTTCTACAAGTTGCGACAATTGTATGTATGCATTTGTAGCTAGTAGATTAAACTTTTATTTTGTGTCTTGTCTGACATGGGGCATTGGCTATGGTTTTAAATTCTAATTTACTCAATTCGCTACGATAATTTTCAGTGACTAGGAAGTGAATGTACTAAAAGCTAATGTTCAAATATTTAGCTGCTTAAGCACTCTCAATTGGCCATTCTACCGGGTTCCGCTTGAGAGCTTAATACTACTTTATCTTTGTAGGTTACTGAAACTTGGTCTAATTTGAAAATGCAAGACATATTTTTCAAGCTTTTTCCTTTGTTTTATTAAGAATTTTGATTGTTACATTTTGTGTTTATATATTATCTTATATTGTGTGTGATGATTTATGATATAAGTTAGAAAACACTTCTATGTGGCACAACATTGCTTAAATTTTTTACGTCATGTTAAAGACTTAAAGTGGTGCATCAGGGTGGCATTGGTTCCAGCTCCGCCCCTGTGTGTGTGTGTGTGTGTGTGTGACCATACTACAATTATGAGAATTATGAGTACTACTCCCTCTGTCGTGGTGGTCGCACGGCAAATGCCATAGGATGGCTAAAGAGAGGAGGAGACTCGAGGGCACTGGTGGGCTCCAGAGGCAAGGTCGGCATGAGCGAGCGCGGGACACAAGACGTACGCAGGTTCGGGGCTCTCTGGAGAGATAACACCCCTAGTCCTGCCGAGTGTGGTTGATATGCGATAGTACAGGGTTGCTCCTAGAGCTGTATGGAGGAAGAAGGAAGACTGGCCAAGGCTTAGGCTGCTCCTCCCTAGGTGTGTTCTATTGATTGGTTGTCTATTTTCCTGTATGCTTGCTGCTCGCCTGTATGCATGAGGGCTCCTGGGGGGTTTTATAGGCCAACCCCCCAGGGGTACAATGGTAATGCTACAAGGCCGTAGGGCCGGCTCGTCAGCGTGTGGGGACCCGCCGGGTGCCTATGGTTCGCCTGGTTCACCTAGGTGCGGGCCCCACGTGCCTAGGGGAACTGTTCGCCGTCTTGTCGATCGTCAGGGAGTGGCCGAGTCGAGTCGGGTACAGTGGCGCTCCATCAGGTCACCGCTTGCTGGCGTTAGTGGTGATGATGGGGGCACTGTTGCCACGCCGGCCCTGTTCAGCGGGTAGGTGAGGGGCAATGTTGCCATGCTCCGGCTGACCAGAGGCATGGGCGGGGCACTGTTGCCTCGGTCATCAGTGGATGAAGACTAGTCCCATCGTATGGTCTGGATGGGACGAGAGCTGACCTGTGGCTGGGTTGGGGAACACGCCAAGGGTGGAGCTGGCTTGTTGGGGAAGTCTTGGTGTGCCGGGTACGGTTGCCTTGAGCTGGTGGTTGGGGCCGGTCGAGGAGCCTGGCCGGGTCGAAGAGTTCGGCCGGGTCGAGGGGCTTGGCCGTGTCGAGCGACCCGGCCAAGCGCGGGCCGGCTTGAGGGGCGACGCTGGCCCCGTTGTTTTTGAAAAGGATCCGGGTTCCGTTGCCTGCCCGGGGTTCATCCCCTCGACAGTAGTCCCCGAAGCTGTGAAGGTACGCCGTCTTTGGATGGGAGGGCCTTCGGAGTTTCTCCCCTTGAAGAGGCGAATCCTGCGACCGTCGGGTCCGTCAACACCCACTGAGTGCCGGTTTTTGGAAACCGGATCACGGCATCCCAGCAGCTGCGGGAAACCGGAGAGTCCATAGAATCTTGGGGCAATCCCTCGGGCTTCACGCGGGCGCCATGTGGCGCCTAGAAGTCGGAGGGGCCTGACAGGCCACGCGCGTGATGGTACTGGGCGACGTGCTGGGGCCCGCCACCGTGATACGTCTCCGTCGTATCTATAATTTTTGATTGTTCCATGCCAATATTCTCCAACTTTTATATACTTTTGGCAACTTTTTATACTATTTTTGGGACTAACATATTGATCCAGTGCCCAGTGCCAGTTCCTGTCTCTTGCATGTTTTTTTTCCCGCAGAAACCCAATATCAAACGGAGTCCAAACGGGATAAAAACGGACGGAGATTTTTTTTGGAATATTTATGATTTTTGGAAAGTGGAATCAACGCGAAACGGTGTCCGGGGTGGTCACGAGGTAGGGGGGCGCGCCCTACCCCCAGGCGCGCCCCTGACCCTCGTGGTCCACCCGTAAGGCGGTTGACGCTCTTATTTTGGCGCAAGAAAGCTAATTTTATGAGAAAGATCTGGGCGAAAGATTCACCCCAATCGGAGTTACGGATCTCCGGATATTTAAGAAACGGTGAAGGGGTAGAATCAGGGAACGCAGAAACAGAGAGATAGATCCAATCTCGGAGGGGCTCTTGCCCCTCCCACGCCATGGGAGCCAAGGAACAGAGGGTAAACCCTTCTCCCATCTAGGGAGGAGGTCAAGGAAGAATAAGAAGAAGAGGGGCCCTCTCCCCCTTTCTTCCGGTGGCGCCGGAGCGCTGTCGGGGGCCATCATCATCACCACGATCTTCACCAACACCGCCGCCATCTTAACCAACATCTCCACCAACTCTTCCTCCCTTTATGCAGCGGTGTAACCTCTCTCTTACCCGCTGTAATCTCTACTTAAACATGGTGCTCAACGCTATATATTATTTCCCA